GGGGTAGGGCTGCCCTGGGCCGGGGGGGGTGTTCTTTATTATTCGGGGCCTCTCCGATTTCAGCAAACATCCCCTCGTCCCTCGTTATACGAACCTGCAGGAGATCCTGCGGCAGGAACCGGCACCAAGGAAGATGATGGGGGGGAAGAGGAGGCAGATGAGGATGGAGCCTGGGTAGCTTTCTTGGACGATTTCTTCTCCTTCATCCAGGGGAATTCCGCTGCCGCGGGGCCGGGCTGTGCCGCGGGCTGGGGACGGAGCTGGAGCAGGCCACTCGTCCCTCGTTATACGAACCTGCAGGAGATCCTGCGGCAGGAACCGGCACCAAGGAAGATGATGGGGGGGAAGAGGAGGCAGATGAGGATGGAGCCTGGGTAGCTTTCTTGGACGATTTCTTCTCCTTCATCCAGGGGAATTCCGCTGCCGCGGGGCCGGGCTGTGCCGCGGGCTGGGGACGGAGCTGGAGCAGGCCATGGGATGCTCTTTTTTGGCTCCTCGGTCTTGCCTGGCTGCTGGAACAAGGATTCAGGCTGAGGACGGTTTGCTCAAAAGGAGGAGGAATTAATGTCGAGTCCTTGATTGATGAAGTTTGAAATGTCTCCAGGACAGCGGGAAGAGACGTCAGGCACTCTGCGAGCGAAGGCTGGCTATTTATAAACCCGATCTCCCTCTCAAATTCAAAATTCATGGCTTTTCCAGGGCCCAGGGTTTAAAAAGCGGGAGGGGGGAGAGGGAGGAGGAGGGGGAGAGGGAAAGAAATCTGAGGCCCTCAGTTTTTATTACAGTGATGATGATGGTTCTCGGGCTTTTTATAATTGTTATATTGCTGATAATACAGGCGTATGGGGACCTTGCTCTATTAAACTCGAGACTGGGGCGAAATTGCAGCCAATTCCTGGTCACGTGGGCAGCCCCGGCCAATGGCAGGCGGGGCCTGGTGGCAAACAGAAAGCATTATTTTCTTTAATTGATTTAAAAAAAAAAAAAAAAAGGGGGCGAGAGAAGATATACCGGGTCTGTTTAAATTACAGGGGGTTTTTTTCTGGGAAGAAAAAGGTCCATGGTGTTTTT